GCTGTGCAGTAGAATAACACTGTTTGAAATGAATGAATGTGAATAAAATGGTGAATTACTCTATAATTATCTTTGTTGTCAATAGCAGTGCTTTAAAACTGGCAATAAAAAAGCAGAGAAAAAAAATGGATGCCGGTCTGCAAACAGCATGTCTCAACCAGTACGTGACACAAAAAGAGTTGGGGTCCACTGCTCTTAACTGTTCCTAGATGTAATTGTGAGTACGAATGGCTGTTTGTCTATGTGTGCCCTGCGATTCGCTGGCAACCAGTTCAGGTTGTACCCCGCCTACTGCCCGAAGATAGCCGGGTCAGGCTCCAGCACACCCGCGACCCTCGTGAGGAAAAAGCGGATTAGAAAATGGATGGATGGAAGAAATCTTCGAGTGTCTGAAAGAAAGTAAGCCAATTAACTGCTTTAATGTGGCAATCCCCGATGGGACATGTCGAAAGTCACCTCCAATTCCGTTGTAGCGAACACAGAGCATAATGAAGGGATTCTTTGTAAAGCAGTGGGTTCCTTCGTTTCAACCTACCCGCTCCTAACGGGTGCCGACCATCATTTTAAATCATGTTAGCGTAAATCTGTCCAGTCTGAAAACTTGAATGTGGACAGACAAAGCTCCGAAGTAATGACAAGGAATGCTGAGAAGCGGTGAGTCAACTACATCAGAGATCAAGGCGGAACGTTACTTGACAAAGGAGCATTTGAGAAAATATCAATTAGTTGCTGGTTAAACCCAGCGGGGCGCTATTTCCCTACATATACATATACTGCGCACTGCACAAATTACTGTATGTTTTATTTAAAATGCGAGGCCGCGTGCAGATAAGGAAGTGACTGGGGAATGTCTTATGTGTCTTGCATATATATATATATATATATATATATAAACTGCTTGGCATATATTCACCAAAACTGCTAATTTCATATTAATGTGCTTCATAAATTAAAGGTGAAAAATGTCAGCCCTCATTTGAAAAATGTGGGATATTGAACAAGCCTTCTGGAGAAATGCTTCATATGCACATGAGCATTGGGGGATTAGTCACATTTATTCAAAAGGATGACTATTGCTTTCTGGAAGTTGGTGAGTCAACAGTGTGGTCCAACAAAGTAGGCCGATTGTTGTCCACCACCCAGTCCAGGAAGAAAAAAAAAAATCAGGAAGTGAAAAGTCTGAGTTTATTATTCCATAGATAGTTTGTGTTAATTGGCAAAGCACATACACATAGGCTTTGTATGGACTTGTGAATGGTCTCTTTCTTAACTGTGCAGAGATCGAGAGTAACTTTATGTAACCCCCATCGACATCCTGTGACTGCCCAATCACACTTTACAGTGAATACCGCTGGGAATAGATTCCAAACACAACCGCAATAGGTGAAAAAAACTCAACATATTGCCTGTGTTGCTTTATGCTCTACTTGTATGTTTTGCTGCTCCCTGTGTTTTAAAGTAGCACTTGTTTGAAGGTTTAGAATTATCATGACATCCATGCTCATTCCCATTAACCTATCACGTATCGCATTACACAAAGTACATTAGTGTTAAAATAGTCGACTTTCATTATTAGATGTTAGATGGTGTTTAAACATGTAATGTTTAATTTTCTTTTGTTTCATGTGTCAATTTTACAGTGAACGTCAACAGGGAGTGACAAAAATACTGTTTATTTGGAGAATTGTGTGAAGGAGGACGTAAGCACTCACGAATGCTTTAAAATGTTGTACTCATATTATATTATTAATACTAATACCACAAAGGAATATTCTAAAAAGTGCCTTAGCTCAATAAAGGTTGGGAAAAACTGATTGATGAAAAAACGGATGACTTCTCAGGATCGTAAATGTGATGGGGAGTTTTTTTTTTCTTACCAAGAAGCGCTTGGAAGAGTTGGCTGCCCAGGATGGCGGACACTTTGCCCACGCTGGTCTTGAGGGCCTGCTCCTCTGGACTAGTCAAGCTGGCCTGGTATCGTCTGAGCAGACCTGCTGCTCGCTCGGTGTCTACAGCAACAAAACAAAAATGACTTTGAATTACATGACACTAACACTACTTCAACATACCTACATGCACCACGACCAGCAGTAAATTACCTCGGGGCACCTTCACGATGACGACAAACTTCAAAATTCTGCAAATCTGAAATACTGTTCAATCCACATATGGTATACATAAAGGCATTTCTACAAAGCTAAGAGTTGGAGTAAAATTTTGACGGCAATATTTTCCCTTTTATTTAAAATGGATTTTGACTACGAATATCTGGTATCTCCCTCCTTGACTGCTAACAATCAGTATAAATGTGCCAATACAAATACAGTGCATGAATGCAGCACCACTCCCACAGCTACTATCACAACCACCTCCATCCTGTCTTTAAATGTTTCTAAGGTTTGGACAAAGACCAACTGGGCTTGTTGACACATCATTAAAGTTTTAATTTATTGAGATATTCCTGTCTGTTAACATACAATATATTTATTATTTTTAAAAATATCAACAGTACCGTGCACATCTGCTTGTGGAAATTAGCGGCTGTGAACTGCATTGGCAGATTCCACATTTTTTCCCTTCACCTAAGGCAGGGGTGTCAAACATACGGCCCGCGGGCCGGATCCGGCCCGCAAAGGAGTTTAATCCGGCCCGCGAGATGATTATGTAAAGCATGGTGTCAAACATACGGCCCGCGGGCCTGAACCGGCCCGCAAGGAGGTTCAATTAGGCCTGCAGGATAATTTAAAAGTGAAAAAATGCATTAAAGACAGAATTAATATTTTTAATAAGGTGCAATTCATTGAGTATCCGCAAGGGGACACTGTTTTGATCAGTGAAGAAGACAACAGCAGCCTCAGTCCGTCACTGTGACAGACCCATGACAGCAGACGCTATCAATAGCACTCTCACATTTACACATTTAATAGCACTCTCCTTAGTTTGTAAGATTACATTTAGATTTTATATGCACGTGTAAATGGTTTAAAACTTCCTTTCTTTATGAATCTCGTTTAATCTTAAAGTGCATTACTATATTTTTCAATACCAATTACTTGTTAATGTTTGTACAATCAGTGGGATCATTTGCAATGCATATATGTGAATGATAAAAGTAAATTGCACATTTGTCGAAGGAAATGTAAGGTGCTTCATGAAATATTTTGTAAAAGATATGTTCATTAAATTTCAACATTTTCCTAATGTTCTTGTGCTTCTTTATACCAAAACAAAGGAAAGACATTGTTTTGGTTATTTATAGCAAAGTATGGTATCATTTTAATGGTCCGGCCCACTTGACATCTACCGAGGCCGTATGTGGCCCACCATGTGAAATGAGTTTGACACCCCTGACCTAAGGTATTCGCACAGACCAAAACCAACTACCATCACTAGCCTTCCTTTAAACGTTTTTTCAAAGTTTGGACGAAGACCAACTACAAAACTTATTGATGTGTCATTAAAGCTGTATTTTGTTGAAGAGTATGCCCGTATAGTAACATTCAATATATTTCTACACATCCCCACAAAAAGTATAACACACATCTTTGTGGAAATCAGCGGCTGTGAACTCCATCCGCAGATTCCACTTTCCCTCCACCGAACGTACTCGCACGAAACACACCTGAATGCATCACCACAACACCCGAACGCATCACCACAACACCCGAACGCACAACAATCCCGTCTATTAACATTTCCAGTTTGGACGAGAAGAGCAACAACAACAAAACTTGTTGACACGTCATTAAAGTTGTCACCCGCCACTTACCGTATTTGTGCACCATGCCGTCTCCAACTTCATGAATCCCAACGCCTCCGTTGTTTTATCTTTTAAGAAGTGAAAATGAGTCAGTAACGGTCGCTAGCTTAAGCAAACAAGCCACAAAAAAGCCCTTTCCTCTTCCCGCCTAAAAAAACGTGACTCACTCGTGCAGACGTCCTCTACCTTACAACAATTGAGAGAAGTTGAGTTTATGTCAACTTTTTGCCTAAGTTTGCGTCCAGAGAGACGACCTGGGAGTTGTGCGGGAGTGTTCCTCCTCCTCCTCCTCCGTCTCCACCTCCCTCTCCCATTCCTCCCTCCTCTTCCTCCTCTTCGTCATGCCGCGCCTCCGTGGGAAGAGGATTTCGATACTGACCGGTCCTGGTGGGTCCACACCTTCCACCGCAGCAGTCCTTGTGTGGTGGTGCAGCCCCACGCCGACACGTCGTCGTCGGGAGGACGCAAAGAAGATCTCTTTTACTGCATGCTACTCCATCAACGACTCTACGTTCCCCTCCTTTTTTTTTTTGGTCTAATATAGGTTTTTTTCCCCCCTCCCTGCCGCAATCCTCCTCAATGCTTGAGTTGAACCGGTGGCAGACTTTGGCGTCCTCTAGAGGCGAGATGGAGAAAAGCAATAGCATGGCATGGCAAACCCGGTTGAAAATTTAAAATTTGGGATGGGTTATGTTCATGTTGATACTGTATTACCATTTTTTGGTAATTTATTTGATTAACCTGTTCATATTTTCATGGATTATACTGTATGATATTACACTGTATTATATTGTATCGTTTTGCATTTGGTTCCATGAATGTCGATATTTTCACTTGGTTCATCTGTTCGTGGTTTGTGGTTGTGTGAAATTTTTCTGAACATCTACTTGAGCAGTTAATGAACGTGAACACTATTGACACGTGCTAAATCCGTTCAGGTCACGCATGCCTCAGTGAAAGCAAAAACACAGTCAGAGATTTAAAGTCAATGGGATGCAATTAAAGTCATCGTGGTGAGTTATCAAGTTAACAGTTGACAAGAAAATTCGGAAGTAGTTCATCTACGGCAGCATTAAGTCAACAGGTCATGTTGAGCTTGCTCGGTTGAAAGGCCATGACAGAGCCAGAGTGACACACTGGTTGAATGACAGCAACACAAAAAGTGCATTTGATGTCTTATATTTAAGATAAGATAACCTTTATTCGACCCACACTGGGGATATTGTGATCAATCGCAGCATATTGTGGCATAACAACGAGTCTGTGGTGAAGTGGTTGGGTTGACAACATCTGTGCTTTCCTTTATCACTTCACCATGGGCCTCCAATGCAGTACAGTGTCAGTAGTAGTTGTAGTAGCACTAGTTCACACTTGGTAAGAGCAACAGTTCCTTCTCCTTCCAGTCCAACACATTCTCACGTTCTTTCTTCGACACTGGCAAAAAGAGCAAGAAAAATTCTGATGCTCTGACTTTTGAATCGAGCGGCTTTCATTAAAAATCAATCAATCAGTATGTTACAGCCTTAATGCAATGGATGTCTTTAATCCTTCAACACATACCTTACCTTTTCTTTGGCAGCAATGACTTTTCCAGCAAGTGAGAGACAGACAGAGAGACAGAGACAACATAACTAAATTAATCATATCCACAACATTTTTTAAAAATTGCATGTATGGGCTTACCGCTGGAGGAAGTACATTCCGATGATCAACACAAGAGAAATAACGTCCACTGTAATCCACATGATTGTGTAAATCCGATGGGGCTGAAACACACAGAGTTGGATTACCGACACACATGCTGTCTATTTCCAAGCCATTCGGGTGTAATGTGCCTTTCTGTGACTTCTCCAATCTGTCGCAACCTGCTGTTGACCCTATTAACTCGGTGGCCACACAAGTGTCAGCTATTGTCATCAGAAGGTTGCAACAGAGAGATTGGAGGAGTGACCGAAAGGCACACAACTATTTGTACCATGATCCAGTCGGGCCGCTGCACGTCCCTGAGCAGGTGGCAGGCGTTGGTAGTGACTGAGCTGACCCCCGCGCACCACAGCAGAGAGAAGAGCCATGACTCGTTGACCACCCAAGTATTCACCGTCACGTTTTGATCCACAAGATCCCTGTTGCACACCAAAAACCCCGGCTGCATATCAACAAAATCAAAATGAGTGTAATTTGGTTGCTGTTTACATTGTTTCCTGTCACAGCACGCGTCGCCTGTGTTTTTTTCCAAGTCAATATTTTTTCGTTTGTAGTGTTTCCATTAATTCTCCTTTTATGCTTATGAGGATCAAATAAACATAAAAGTGAGAAAAGAGATATTGAATCAACACAAACAAAAGTCTGATTGCATGTACGCAGTACTACAAAAATCGGGAGATTTTCTGTTGAAAGGCTCAACTCTGATAATTGAGACAATTTGAAGTTCATCAAGGTCTCTAAGCGACTGATCGATTATCAAAATAAGTTTTGATAAATTTGTTAATCGATTAGCTGTCATTTAATCAATTAATCAATACATCACCCGTAAGTAAAACAAGGGGCCAAAAGGGTTACCGGTAACTAAAATTGAAAAAATAGTAAAAAATACAATTTTGCCTGATTGTCTATGACATTTTGCATTGTATCTTAGCTAGCTGACTTTCATTAGATATTACATGGTTTGGTTGAATATTTTAACCAAAATAGAATTAGAATTAAACCAATCGACAGGGTTGAATTTTCTTCTCCGTTTTTTTTTACATGACAGTGTGACATGAAACAATTTCAAATACATTTCGATTTAGTCTCTCAATGTCACAGATTACCATTTACGGGTGGGTCTGGAATATGTCCTCGTAATAAACGGGGGTTCATGTTACAATAAAACAAAATCAAATACCAACGTTTTTGGAGGGAAATGTTTGGTGAAGGCTTCCAGTCACCATAGCACCTGTTACCTAATTTGTGCTGTGTTCAACTTGTTATAATGCAGATTGAGATGGTTGCCTCCGTCTTGAAACATGTCGTATTCATTGTTGTATACTTGGATGAAGCCTGGAGCAGATGTTTTTACATATTCTCGTTCTGCAGGTGGAAGCCACATGATCTGTACAAACAAACAAACAAAAAAAAGACAATCGCAGATGAAATTGAAACGGTCCTCTCCCGATGATCAAGGACAGAGCTGGAAAAGTAGGCATTTATGAAAACACACTTTTTTTCTCAAGTATTCTTTAGCACCCATTTTCACTCTCTTGCTGTCAAGAGACAAGAGACAAACTACCGTAAAACGAACAGACGATTCGCTCACCCAGTTCTCCAAATAAGAGGCAGAGTGTGCCTGCTTCTAGCTGTTTATTTGACACACCCAGTTGTACTTCACCGTAAAACTGACACATTTAAAAAAGAGAAATAAACATTGCATATTTAAACGACAAACTGTTCAAATAGACTGCATAATTACATCTGACAAAAGGCTCCAAGCTTAGAGCTAGCATACAATTCAAAATATTTGCTAAGCTAAAGGAAATTAGCATTACAAAGACAAAACAAAAGAAAAGTGGACATTTCATATATAATAACTAGTCCACTAGCTTAATGCTAACATGATGTGTCTCTTTCCATGACCCGAACCCGTGACCCTGTGACCCGAACCCGTGTCTGTAAAGAAATCTGATTGGGTGACTGGATGGTGTCAAGGAGAAATGAGCATGAAGCCTACCAGGCTTGGGTCCACGTCAGACATCAGTATCGTTCTGACCACATCCACCGTGTCGGCCTCCTGGTCGGGACTATAGAGGTCGAATATGACCGAGACATTGTGGCTCTTGGCGAGTTGCAGGAGCTGCAGTAAAGACGCAACACTCTGATTTCGGGCTTCTTCTTTATCCTCCGCAGAGAGCTGGGACAATGAGCGGAAAGGATCTGTCTGGAAAACATTAAATGCAGATCATCAATGCAAACATGTACTATTTAACATTCATCCATCCATCCCTCCATTATCTGAACCGCTTTATCCTCACGAGGGTCATAAAAATAACAGCTTTTTTTGCTCTAAAAATATGAATGAATCATCCTCACATTATGTTTTTTTTCAAAAACAGTTCACCTTTTAATCGCTATCGCAGTTCTGGGGCACACTTGGTATGTTTAATCTACCTGTACATTACATATGCGGACGTTTATAGGTTAGCAGCGCTCACCTGAAGGAACCATTCACCCGCATTCAGACTTCGCAAGTCCTTCCAAGTCAACTCGGTGCTCATGTTGAAATCCTTGTGCGGAAACTTCTTTCTGACGTCTGTCGTTCTTCTGAGGAAGCCCAAGTGTTGATCGTGCATCAAGAATGGAATTCTGTCCTTACTAATTTTCAAAGACAATTTGGGAAAGAATCAAAATAATGCATTCATGTGAATCGGCACAAGTTATCGTCACGATATAAGATGTTTCTTTGTCATATGGCAGCACTGAATAGCGAAATTCCTTCTCTCCTCCTTCCACTGATAAAAAGAGGGTATGATATTTTGTAAATAAGAGTAATTTTAAATAATGGAAGATAAATACTTCAGAAAAAGGAAGAGTTTAAATTTCAATTAAAAAATATATATTTTAAAAATTATTACATGAATTAAACATTTAATGACAAAAAAAGGGAAGTGTATTTGAGGTCGGCATCTATTTGAGTATTGCAGGTTGCAAAGGTATTGCACAGTATTAACTTGGAAGCGAAGCGGATTATACAGATTGTGATGGCATTTTTTCACAAAAAATGACCAATATATTGGCAGCACTTTTTTGTGCGCTTGATTAGAAATAAATAAAACTAAATTGTTAAATATATATTTTGGACACAATGACATTTTCAATAAAATAAGATAAAATACAAATTGTACTTATTTACATTCCTACAATAAAATTGCATTCATTTTTAAATTAAAATCACTTCATTTCTACGACAAGTGTTCAATTATTTGGGGGGAAAAAATACAAAATAAGATGTATTTCTGAAATAATAATTAACCCATTCATGCACCAATAATGATAACCTGTAACCTGATAACACGATAAGCTGTCCACTCTAGTGACCTCTCTCCCTGAAAAGGTTAAAGGGGAAGTCAACCCAAAAATGTCTTTCAAGAATATGTTCGACGCATCCCAACGAGCCTAAGCACGGCATTCCGATAAATATTTCATAGGAGCAATATGAGTTAAGCAGTAAAATCCACCCATCTCAGGGGGAGACCATTTTGCCATGGTTCAAATTCAGAAAACAGGCGAGCCGTGATTGGTCGTTACCTGAGCCTTTAGGCACTGTGATATCATTTTCAGTCGATGGCAAGTGGCGAAATGGCCGCCCCCCTAAGATGGCTAAAAACAAACGCAATATGAATCTAAATAGTGTTTAGATTAGTGAAGGCACATAGAACATTTTTAAAGACAATTTTGGAGTTGACTTCCCCTTTAAAGCCCCCCCCGCCCCTTTTATTATATGATAACATATACTTTGCTGGCCAATACCTGATCTGCACATCTGTCTCAAATGCCTTCACGCCACACAGGAGGCTCTTCTGGAAGGACATCATCGTGTTCTCGGGAGCCAGCTGAACACAAACATCACACATGGTGAGACACACACATGCGCACACAAGCGCAAACAAAGAAGCTGGGCCAAGACAAACAATGCCATGCGGCGTTTTCATCCAAGCTTGTTTGTGAGCCAACCGCAAGCGCCCCACCCCTCACCGCCCCATTGTGATACTGTACCTGCACACATCTCCACACATAGGACTCTTAAC